ATTTAGGCTCTTAAAAAGAGGGGGAGAGCAAAAATTCCGCAGCGCCGAGCTCGGGGCTGCGCGGCCGAGGAGGAGGAGGGGAGGAAGGTTGAGCTGCCTCCCCGGGGCCGCTCTGCGGCTCTCTGCGCCCGTCGGGGCCGCCTCGGCGGCGGGGCCAGCCCCGCTCGCGGCCCGAGCCCCGCCGTTCTGGGGGGATCTGCGCGTAAAAGGAGGCGCTGGAGCCGCCAGGAGAGGGACGCGGTGGCACCGAGCGACAGAGCCGGGGTTTAGGTTAGAGCACCGCGGGTAGCACTGCAAAACACGCGCGAAACCCGTCGCAAACCCGGCCCGGGAAATAACCGGTGTATTTATTTTGAGGAGAGAAAGGATAAAATCTCAGGTAGAGAGGTAGAGCCTTTATGAATATCTCTTGCAAAAATATTTTTTTTTGTTCTTCCTCTTGTTGGGAAGTATTATTTATTATTTATTATTTATTATTTATTATTTATTATTTATTATTACTTTTTAAAAATCAAGTATTAAGGTAAGAACAGGAAAAAATATATATATTTGAAAACAGTAGAACAAACTCTGAAAAAGTCGAGCTGGAGGCTCTTTCTTGATTTCTGTAGGAAATCAAGCTTTATGTCATGACATTTTGTAGCAAGAAACCTGCATCTTGGTCCCTGAATGAGAGTTTTCGTTGATTTTGTTGCATCCTCTTGGAGGTCAGTGGAAAATTTCCGAGAGTGCTTTTTTAGTAGGAATAAGAGAAGAAATGTGGTTTTTTTTGATCGCGTCTGGTGCTGTGCGGGCAGCTGCACTGAGGGAGCAGCTCACAGCCCGGCGCGCACGGGCACTGCCGGGTGCAGGGGTCTGAGCTCCTCCAGCTTCTCTTTGAGGCATCGGGATTCGGGTGCCGTTTTCTCCTCCGTGTTTGTGACTTGTTTAAGTTTCCATCGGAGGTCTGAGCCCCTCCGGCGCGGCGCTGCTAGCGTTTCCGCTCAGGAATGCCGATCTGTTTGGCTGGATGCTGGACGCACGGGCGAAAGCTGTGTCTCGGAGAGCTCCGAGCCTGCGTTTAGAAATACGGCAAGGAGTATCTGTCACAGCTCAAGAATGCAGCAGGGGAGGCAGATTAGGATCGAGGCCCCTAGCTCCACTTGCCACCACACATGAGCTCCAGGTTTTGGAGCAAAATCTTCCCTCGGGGCTGGAGTGCAGGGCTGCTGGTGGGATCATGGGCAGCTTTGGTGTGGCCAGCCCAGCCACAGCTTGGCGCTGCTTGGTGACAGGAGCTTTCCCATTTTTCCTCTTTTTCTATAGTTTCAGCATACTTAAGAACCCAGTTGTAAGAAATGCCTCATTAATCCAGATGTGGGAAAAAAAAAAAAAACCCTAAAACCAAACTGAAAGACTGATATTCCCGCAGATTAGATAAACATCATTTCCTGTGACGAGGAAGGTAACGAATGAGGTCATCCCATAAAACACCCGGGGCTGTGAAGACTTGTCTTTTACGAGCCGGTCCCCGCGCGTGGGCACGCGGGCTGCGCTGAGCTCGGCTTATCGCTCCTCGCGGCTCCGCAGGGCTCGTGGCGGCGTGAGGAAAGGGGCTGCCCTGGAAGGAGCCCCGTCTTGGCCGCAGGGCTCGCTGTGCCGCTCTTGAGAGTCCAGCCTAGGCCTCGCACGTGCCGCGAGCTCCCGCGCTCGCCGAAACACGGGCCCCCTTCCCGGCCCCCGCACGGCTCTTACGTGTGCGTTGCGAGAACACCTACTAATCAAACAGAAAGACTTAAAAGAAAGTTTTTACTCTGAACTGGGTCCAGATCACCATTCCTTCATTAAAATTATATTTTTAATGTCCTATAATTGCAGCAGGATAAAACCAGGTGTGTGTTCGTGTGAGATAACACACTTGGGACCAGTGAAGGCGCTGGGCTTTGTCTCAACCTTCCTGGTGCCCCCAGGCACGTGTTATCTCCAAGTTTCATGTACCTTGTCACGACTTTCTGTTTAATTAGATGTTTTTAAATGAGTTTTTTTCCCTCTTTGTTAGATGTAAAGACCCATTTGCACGGGGGAGGTTCAGCAAAGCCAGCTCAGGTTACTTGCTGGTGTTGGCTTGTTAGTAGAACCAAGGGTTTCTTCACCAAGGGATGGACTCCAGAGGAGATTTTTCCATGGGGCGGTGCTGTGCAAGGCACCAGCAGCGGTGCTGGCGTGGCCTGGCAAGGAGCTCGTCCTCTGTGCCTCGTTTCTGAGATGTTTTCGCCGTTCGGTGTCTTAGTGGAGGTTGCTGAAGATGTTGCTCCGGGGTGGGCAGCATGGAGCCGGTTGTGGGGCGCTGCGGGAGAAGGGGAGAGAGAGCACAGGGTCGGACGGTGCCCACGGCGCCCTGCGAGCTCGTGCCCTCCTCTGGGGAAAGGTGGGAAAGCGGGAAAGCTCCTGTGGAGGAGCGGAGTGCGTGCAAGCACAGGGCGGGCAGAACAGAAATGCTGTCCGAGCGGGCAGAAGATGCAGGGCGAAGCGGTGCTAGGAAAGGGACGGGGCTGTTCCCCAAAGGATGGGGACTGGGGGGAGAGGGGACAAGCGGGAACGCAGTGGATGCTTCTCTGGTGCCTCGGGACGAGGGCGGAGCACGTCCCGGCCTCGCCTCGGCGCCCGGCTTCTCTTGCGCGCTGCGTGGCGGTGGCGGCAGGGCCGCGGCCGCTCGCCGGGAAGGCGCCGAGTCCTGGGCTGCCTCCCGCCTTGTGGGGACACGCTCGGCGCCCACGGAAGGGGACGGATCTCCAGGTGCTTGAAGGCTTCGGGCCCCTTTTTCACCCCATGCGACTGGCCCAGGAGCAGCGCAGCAGGTCGGGCTCATCTCCCGGGCCGGAGCGCTCGCTCCCCTGCTCGCTCCGGAAAGCCGCCATCCCGCTGGTGCTCACGGCGCATCCGCGTGGCCACGGAGCCAGCCCGGGCAGCGCCGGGCTCGTTCCCAGGCGCTGTGCGGAGGGCGAAGGCCGGGGCGCGCGGGCAGGACGGGCAGCGCCGCTGCCGCGCGGCGCCGGCTCCGGGACTGGCCCCGTGCCATAGGGAGCCCGCGGCAGAGCAGCACCAAGCCCGGACCATCTTCCCTGTTATTTGCCTACATGGTAATGCTGCAAGATACGTGGTCTCAGAGGAAAAATGCATCCAGGCTATCTTAATTATTTAAAGAGCCTAAATGAGGTTCTCTGAAGTCGCAGTCCTGACCACTAAGCCATCCCACCCTTCCCTGGGTGAGCCTAGCGAGTTACTCATTCCTGCTGTCCTTCCATTTGTTTGTTTATTTTCATTCTTAATAGAAAAACTAATTAGCAAGCATGGACACCCTGCTCGGAGCTGCTAAGTGCTGCGCTGTCGCCTCTGCGCCCTGCGCCAGACCCACTGCTGTGTCTGGGCATCCTTCCCGCGTCACAAAGAGGGTCAGTGTCGAGGCACGGGGCAGAAGTGCCGAGAAGCACAGGGCAATGAGAAAGAAGTGCAAGAGAGGAGCCCCGCTGACCCATTGCAATGAATAGCCCAGAAGAGCGTGCTGCGAGGCAGCGCTTCGGGAGCGAGGTGCTCCGGGGCGGGATGCAGGAGGCGGCCGAGCGGGTTCAGCCCCGCCGCGCGGGAAGGTCCCGGCCTTGCCGGCGTCCGCGGCGCGTGCTTGGCATTCCAGCCGCGGCCGAGCCTCCCCGCCCTCTATCTCAGGTATTTATCTAGCATCGGTCCCCGCGTAGCGAGGCGCCTCGGAGCGAGGGCGCAGGTCAGGCCTTATTCCTTCTGGACTGGTCGGGCAGGTCGGGGCTGAGTGGCGTCTCGGAGCGCGGCCCGCGTGGAGCTGGCGCGTCCTCGCTCGCTCGCGCGGTCCGGAGCTCGAGCAAGACATCCACGGTAGCAGCGCTGGGAACATTCCTCCAAGTAGCTGCACATGAGAATCAGTAGGTGCCCTTTGCTGCAGTCGCAGTGACCCATGCGAGGTGGTGACCACCGCGGAGGCCGCTCCGAACAGCTCTGGTACAAAGAGCTGCCCGTGCTGGTCCTTCCCTCCCCGAGGTTCCTCCTTGGCACCTCGCGGGTCCGCTGCAGCGCGGAGGGGACTCTGCAGCGGCCGCTCCCACGCTGCACGTCCTGCAGCTGCTCCAGGAAGCGCATTCCCGGTCGGAGCGCAGCAGTGACCGGAGCACAGGAGGTCCAGGGTTGTCCGCGACCCCTTGCCCAAGGCCAGGCCTTAGGACACCACGGCAGCTCTCCCTGGGACCATAGCGGGCGAGCGGAGTCGTTCCCCTGTGTTGGTGACTCCAGCGTGGCAGGTGAACCGAGGTATTTACATTGCTGTGGTTTGAATCTCAAATTGAAACCCTCCCCAAACGCTCTGCGGATTGGCAGCAAGTTCCATATGAAGAGAAGTATTTTGCTATTATTACTCACGTCTAATCTTTGCTGAAGGGTCTTTTGCCCTTCAATAATCTAAATACATTTTAACAAATTGATGCTAACATTACCCTGGCTTACACAGGATCCGCAGCCCTTGCTGAAAGACACTGCGCCTTTGTTCTCCCTTGCGAGATTATGTAGATCCAAGCCGCACAAATTCAGGCCTTTCTATAGGCAACGCAGGGAAAAAACCTCTCAAGCATGTTACTGCAAAATGGATTATACTGTTTAAACACATAAAGATCCCGTACACGGCTGGCCAAAACGTAACGGGAGTTTGTGCTGCTGAACGAACAAACCTGCGACGCTCGAATCGAAGCCGCGGGGCAGAGCGGGCAGCGCTCGCGGCCGCCCCGCGCGCCGGGCCGCTGCGGTGGCACCGAGGACAAACCCTCCTTGTGGCCGGCACCCAGCGGGGCCACCCCCGACCTCGGGGGCTCTCCGGGCTCCCCTTCCCTCTTTTTTTTTGCTTTCCCCCTTCCTGCATGTTTTCTGTGCTGTGAAACGCGCTCGTTCTGCACAGAGGTAGAATTCCCTCCTCCCCGAGCAGGGAACAACTGCGTTTTAATCAGTTGCTAGCATTTTTCTAACGTGGGGGTGAAAGGGTCTAGCTGCAAACTCAGAAGGAAAAAGCGCTGTGTTAGGGGTGGGGAAGGGAAATCACCTGAATTACTGCACTGAACAGTAACGTGTCAAATAAAGTTGCAAAGGTAGAAAAGTTACAGTATTCGTCACAAAGGAAGATAGATGAAATACCATTTTCCGAGCAGTTCTTTCGGCAAATAGTAGGGGAAAAAAAAACAGTAAATACTTGTAAAATTTTCAAAAGTGGAATCCAAATCTTTTTAAATTTATTTTCTGTGAAAGTTTAGGTACTTGAGCCTTGCTAGTGAGAAGGACCTTTTCATCTTAAATATTTGCAGGTTCCCAGGGAGCATTTCCCCATTCACCGTTCAGGCTGCTACATCAATATTGAGAACAGCTTCCCCAAATCCACAAGAGAGTCTGACCAACAAGCACATTGGAGGATGGGTTGTTGCTAAACTGCAAAGGAGGCAAATCCATTAACTGAAATTATTAATTGCAAATTGCTTACTAACCCCCCATCATTCCTAGTCCTGAAGGAATACAAGGCACTTTTGCAAAGGGTAATTTTTGTTATTATATTGATTGGACGATGCCTTTAAAGACACAATATAATAAGCAGGTTCTGCCCTTAAGTGAGACTACCTGTCCTCCAGTCCCAAGGAAACTGAACGTTAATATCTCAGCAGTGAAACTCCCCAGAAACAGGGAATTCCACAGGTACTTCCCTGCATTCACCGGCAACACATTATAAATGCAGTTAATATCACATGACAACACCTTAAAATTCAGTTCATAATCTAATGTATTGATTTGCATTGGAAACCAAGTGTAAGCACAGGAGCTTTGCATAGGCATGGGACCTCTCCTGATTAGTGTTCTCATGGGAATAATTGGAGGCTGCTGACTCGGACCCTCGGAAGAAAAGAGGGAGCAGGAGCACAAGATCCATTTGCCTATCGGAGCTCAGCAATCTGGAAAGCTCGGAGATAAAACAACAAGATTCTTTCCATCCCTCCATTTGAAAAGGCCTTCGAGCCCATTACAGCATTTCCTAGAGAGGCTCTTTGACATGGAGACTTGATTCAGGCTGGGCATCAAGATAAAGAGAATACCTGTATAATGCCCTCTGGGGAGAAAGGATAATTACAGACTGCCGGGTTGAAATATAGCTGATGGCCCTGACCTCCTTCCCTGGCCCATCAATAAATACCTGCCTGCTGAAGCACCAGGAAATTGAAGGAGCTGAACTCCGCAGCACCTCCTCGATGGAAAAGGGCTTTCAAAGCTCCGGTAGGAGCAGTTGCCTCTGGCTCCCACCCACATGCACATACTGCTTTATGTATGTATCTCCATCTCACAATTTACATCAGAGACATTCAAACTAAGGCTGGATGAGCTCACTGAGGGCCCTTCCCGAAGGCTGGCGCTGACCCCGTGCCTCCCACGGCCCCTTTCACCAGGGCTGCTCACGACCAGGAGCCGGCCGCAGCTCCTCGACGCCGCAGACCTGCGGGAGCCGCCGGAGCGACGGGCACCGGAGCGGCCCCGGCCACCGCTCGCTGCCACCGCAGGGACATCCAGGGAGCGGCGGGAACATCCAGGGATGCGGGTAGCGCACGATGGGATCTGCACGATGGGATCTGCACTGGCCGAGCGGAGCAGGCGACGTGGCCCCTTGGGCTCCGTGGACCTGCAGCAACCAGAACCATCAGAGCCAAGGAACAGACCCCGTGCATCTTCATTCCTACAGGGGTAGATGCCAGACTGCTCCATAACAGGTGGTCTCCTAAGAGGATTAGCTGCTACCTCTTCAAAACGTAATCTAAGCTTTAGCACGCTCTGGCTTCTTAAAAGAGATGTTGCAACAAAAGCCTCAATATCCAGGGATTCAATGTTGCTGAGGTGGAGGATTTACCTGTAATGCATCTAAGGAAAGAAGAAAACAGACTTGTAGGACAGGCAGCGATTTGCAAGTTCCCTCTGGACTTGTTTTTCCCCTTGCAGCAGCCCAGGCTTCGGCTGGAAATGAAACCGAACAAAAACACGATAAGCAACTTAACATCCAAGGAGCACCAGCTTTCCCGCTTAGAAATTATTCACAAGCAAGCAGCACATTTCGCACATGGGAATGAGTTTGCATTTCATCTTTTCCTTTTCGTAGGTAAAAGTCTCGTTTCCCTAAAAACTGCTGATGGGGGACGGGCAGCACGCGAGCGCCCAGGAGGCCGGGACGCCGCAGCCCGTGGAGCCGGCGTTACGGCCGGCTCATGGTGTACATTCCTACACCAAAGGGGCCCTTCTCAGCGATCCTAGCGGTGGATTCAGACAGCTCCATGAACAAACAGTTGCAAGGGCTGCCAAGCCCAGCAGATCCGAAACCTGCGTTTGCATCCAGAGGGATATTCGCAGGGTTTTATCCTGACACATACCTGTCTTGTTTGATTTCTTCTAGTGGGGTTCCCGCCAAAGTCATTTGATAGGAGGAAAAAGACAAATCTGGAAAAAGCAGGAAAATGTTCAAGGCTTTCTAGTTTCTGAGGTAGAAGTATTTGAGCCTTTGTACCTGGAACCTAAAAGCCAAGGGACCCGCCATGGTGCATATAGGACTGTCAACTGCAAACTAGACAAAAAGTCACAGAAAAAAATTACACTTTATTTTGAAATACCTTCTCTGGCATGAAAGACACTAAGGCTCCTTACTCCGTCCATGTGCCTTGACTCACAGGCTGATGTCAGGCTGATTAGTCCCGTGGTGCTTCTCCTCTTTTACTCTTCTGGACAGTGTAGGGGAAATAAATATTCAGAGAATTCAGGGTTTGGGATGCTCCTTTCCCCTTCGTCTTTGCAGGCTGCTGCTTCTGCAAAGCTCCGCACAGAAATGAGCCCTGACAGCCCATCTGCAGCATCACTGCAGGTCAGAGGACCTTGTCGTTCAGGGTCTGCCTTTCCAAGATGCATCATTAAGTCCTGTGCTTAGGTATCAAACCGACTCCTCCTGGCTATGTTTCTCATCCAGGGATTTTTCACCTGGGGAAATTTCTCATCCAGGCATCGCTTGGCAAGTTTTAGTTATGTATCACAATATCCCCCCCGGGCAGGGTTTATTATCTCTATTTTGTTGATGGAGATTCTTGAGCCCAAACTGAGGAGATGACCTACCGGAGTCATAAACCAAATCCCTGGCAGAGAAGGGAGCAGATTCCAGCAGTCCCGACCCACATCCTCCCTGCTCACAGCAGCAGCGCTCCGGGATGCGGAGGATCCAGGAGGACAATTATACAGAGGCAGAAGCTTTGCAGCCTTCTTTGAAAGCACTCGGGGAAGTTCTATGACAAACCCTTTGGTGTTCTTAGAAACCAGGACCGATTTTGCAATCTGAATCAGGTGTTTTCACACCACAGCAAACTAACTGAGTTGTGCAAGTTTCATCATCCCTGGCAGCTACACCCAAACTGAGTTTAAAAAACAAACTAGATCTGATTCAGCACAAAAAAAAAAAAAAAAAAAAAACCTCTGGTCAGAGCTCATAAAATTCTCCTGCTCAAAGGAGAGGAGAGTTGCATGGGATTTTGTGTGGCCCTTTACATTGAGCTGTTGCTTAATGCACATGGGAAATGTATATTATACTACAAGCAGTACCTCAATTGCAATACTGAGGGAGGTAGCAAGGTGCTAAGCGTCATAGAAATATATTTTGTGGCAGCATGCAGGAGAAATAAGGATATAGTTTTCCTTTTGATGTTCAACAGAAGGATTTTGAGGTCTTGGGGAAGAGGACCATGTCAGCTCTATTTCAAAATCGCAGGTTTCCTTTGCAAATTGGCTTCTTCTGACACTTTTGCTGTGCAGCCCTGCAGGATCTTTTTGCAGCCATCAATCCCGTTGCCCATCAGCAGCTCCCTAACCCAGAAACAGCATCCCCCAGGGCAAAGTGTTTCACTATGATTTTAATGGGGGAAAACAGCAGCCAAGCTCACCTCCATGCAAGTAGCACAAATCAAGACCGTTTGGATCTGTTGAATCAAAAATAATAGGATGAATCTGAACTAAACAAGACCCGGACTAAAACACCCTCTTCCTCAGGAATGAGGTACTTCAGCCAGGTAAAAAGCTCTCAGGAGAGCCTGACAGCTGAGGGCAAGAACAAAGATTTAGGGAACATAGTGCCCTCCATTCACCCATTTACCACAGTTTTAAGATCACATACAAAACTGGTAAGACCCCATTCCCAAAGGTTTGATAAATAATAATGATAGCAGATAGTAAAGAGAGTCTCAAGAAGAAAAAAAAAATACTTACACTTCCCAGCAGATTTCAGAGCAGCAAATAGGTATCTAAAATTCCCTCCTTCCTCTTCCTCAGTACATCTCCTTGCGAGAACTGACCTTAAAGCTTTACCTGCACCCAAAGGAAATCTGATCCCCTGCCTCCTGCCTAGACTAAACCAAACACAGCCAAGGCCAAGGCAAAGCAGCCTCTGTCCTACCCTTTAGAGCCTTCCTGGGCCTGGGGTGTTCAGCCCAGCTGAGCCCCATTGAATTCATCAGGCCGGGCCTGGCGGGAACAACAACCAGTTAGACCCCGCTCCTGGCTGGTCTCTGTGCTGTGTGTGCATGAACAGCCTGGGGTGCCTTCCTGCTGGCAGTGCTGCACGGGAGCGGAGCCTCCTCCAAAGTGTCTCTGCAGCCCCTGTCCTGTCATATCCGTATCCCACATATCGGACCTTGCCTGCAGCCCCTCCATTGAGACCAGGAGCGGAGAGCAGGCTATGGAGAGAAAGGTAATGTCCTTCCCTGGGGCTGAGCAAAGGTATCTCCTGTAGCTTAACCCCAGGAAACCTCAAAAAAGAAAAAAAACACCCAGGACAGTGATGCCGCTGTAATATTTCCATTCCCAGCCTTAAGTCTGCACTGCTTCCAAACTGTTGGAGTGGGGTCCAGGTTTGTGTCTTTGCTGGGGGACTTGGGGTTGCCTCTGCTCGGCATACAGAGGACCCGAGTGCTCCCAGGGAGAAGGAGAGAGGGGATTTGTGCTGTGCCTGTTCAACACCCTGGCGCCCAATAACGTGGTCACGAAGCCCTGTCTCTGCTCCAGCTGTTTATTCTTCTGCGCGGTAACTTAGACGAAACCTTGGCAGGATCTGTGCCGGGCACCGTGTAGCGTTCCCGGAGGGGTCAGTCGCCTGCATGCACGCGTCTGGTTTGGAGATGTCCCCCTGCTCCTGCCCGTGGCCCCAGGACTCCGGGGACGTGCGTGCTGGGCGCCAGGGCACTGCGCTGTCTGCCGGGCACCGCGCAAACCTGCAAGAGTCTCATGCTTCCTTCTTGTCTGCAGGCTGGCTCAGGTGCTCCGATCACCTGCTGCTTGCGGGAACAGGAAAGCAGCAGCTGAAGATCGAGGGGGACTTTTGGTTTGCTCAGATGACAAGAGACAATTTTGGGCCCCCCAAAGCCAAGGAAACAAAGCTGTCAGGCTTTAATGGTAGCTTGTCTCCCTCCTGCAGCATGTTTATGGGCAAACAAGCTGCAGATCAGACCAGGCAAACAGCAGGTGAGGCCAAATATCAATAATTAATAATTAATGGCAAATGTGGCTGTGTTTATTCTTGTTGTATCGAGGCAACCCTGTCTAATGCCTGAAGCACTGTTACAGGACTCAAGAGACGTGGGCTCCGTTTCCAGCGCTGCCGCTAAGGTCCGTGTGATGCTGGGCCAGCCACCCCTCCTGTTTCTCCTTTTGCAGTCTGCGTGCTTTGCTCTTGACGGTGCAAGCTCTCCATGACGGGGCTGCCGTGTTCCATGGGTGCCCAGTTCTCGATGCCATGGGGCCCCGAGGCAGAAGAGTGATAACTGACCATCATTTTCTGCTAGGGGTTCCTCCGTGCCGATGCCTGCATGGTTTGGTCGTGGCACATACAGATAGCCTGACTCTATGGGGCATTCATTTTCAGAGCAATAGGGTCTGCTTTACAGTTCTCCAGGGGGGGCTGGATGGCAGGAACATTCCTAAAATTAGCGGTATGTGTTTGAAGTGTGGTGGCTTTCCAGGCTTGCACAAATGTCCGAATATAGTCGATACGCAGAGCTCTTTGGAGACAAACTACAAACGGGGATCCCCAGCAGTTAACTAAAGATACGGCACAAGAAGCAACCCCTTCTCCCGAGGGGTGCCTGGCTACGTGGCGGCCCTTGCTCACGTCTGCTGTGCTGCCTCTGCGGCAATGCATGGGTATTTGTAAAACGTGCTCTGACTTCTTCTTTTAAGGGTGTGCCTCGGAGACAAATATTCGTTGTTTTAGGGTTCTGAAAGCAAGCCCTGAAATTGCTGCTGCCTGGAAATAGCTCTGGTTTCCTAGGTCCCGTGGATTTCTTACTTGTATCTGTTCTTTCCTTAATAACCAGCTACGGTTGTGGTAAACACCAGTAATTCAGTTCTCGACTCTAGCAGGGAATCGGTGTGTCTTGCCCTTCGGAGCCCTGACTTCATCCCAGTTTCATGCTGAGCAGGAACATAATATTCCTTAGCTCATTTCCATTCATCTTTCAGTCTTAAAACATCAACCATTTTTATATAACATGTGCTCCTTTTTACTGCCACACTAACAAGTTGTTGAGCTGTATTTATGACATGCCAACTGTAAGGCTCCATTAATAGGCCCACTCTATTTATCCCTCCCATTAATTTTCAGCTTTTCCGTTTCATTCGGGGCATGTGTATTTCCTTTATAAAACCTGCATCTCGCCCTGCTATTTGTTGCTGTATTCCTTGTATGACCCATTTGAATGTGCTTTATGGAACAGTCATTACCATGCAACCACAGAGCGCGCCAGGCCTGAAAGGAGCTGCAGCAATAGCACTTGCAGTCCGCTTTGCATTCTTTGGAAGCATGCTTTTTCTTTTCCTCTAGAGTTAAACTGGCTATTAATTTCAAAACAGAAAAGCCAAAGAGGTTGGGCACAAGTGGCAGCCATAGCTTTAACCCATAAATCCTTATTGTGTCTAAAAATGTTTCTTACTGAAGTGACGTATGGGAAAAACGTACTCGTTTCATCCTGGATGTGACGCCCTGGGTCTGGTGCGATGCCGCATTCACCGCTGCTGGCTTCTTGTGTTAACTGACTTTTTGTTCATTAAGTAAAAGGAAGTTTGTGCTGGATTAATTTGGTTTGATCTTCTCAAGCTTCCTTTAAACCAGGGATGATCAAAGTTTAGTGCTGTGGCTTGTTGTGGGGCTAATCCCAAAGCTGAAGCCAAGGGAAGGCTTTCCACTGGTTCTCATGGACTGCATTATTGGCAAAGATGGCTCTTGGCCACCCCAGCATTTCCCAAATTTTATGAAAGGCACGAAGGGCTCAGCCTTGTTGATCCTTCCAGGGGTATGTCGCCCTGTGCTTGTCTGGATGGGACCCCTAGCAGTGGGAAGGGTTATTTCTCATACTCTGTTCTTGAGGAAAATATGAAGCAAGCAGACCCCCCGAGCAGGCTTGTCCCCGTCGGCGGGGAGCAGTGCACGTGTGCTCTGTGTCCAGAACGCTGCCATGAGAATCAGCAAGCTGCTCCCCAGCTCCGGGGTCTCTCCGTGACAGTCCCCTCTTCTCTCTCCCCCTCGCCTTTCTCCTAGTGCCCATTCCCTCCAAGGCCAACGGCACCATTTCCACGCTGGCAATGAACAAGGACGGTCTGATCGGAGGGGTGACGAATCCCAACGAGGTCTTCTGCTCCGTGCCTGGCCGCCTCTCTCTCCTCAGCTCCACCTCCAAGTACAAGGTGACGGTCGGGGAGGTGCAGAGGCGCCTTTCTCCCCCCGAGTGTCTCAACGCCTCTCTGCTCGGCGGGGTCCTCCGGAGGTAATAGTGACCACCAGAAATTAGTTCTTTACAGTAACATTTGGGTTGCTTTTTCTTCTTTCTCTTAAAATTCAGAAACTTAAACTGTTTTATTTTCGTTCCTCCTTGTTTTCGTTTTTCAGAGCAAAGTCAAAAAACGGGGGCCGATGTTTAAGGGAAAGGCTAGAGAAAATCGGACTCAATCTACCTGCAGGAAGGCGCAAAGCCGCAAACGTCACCTTGCTGACATCCCTAGTGGAAGGTAGGAGCCTTTCTTTCCTCCCATGTACGGCGGGAGGGCCGATACTTGGCCCGTTCAATACCTTTCGTTTGTAGCTTTCCACAAACGAGAGCAATTAAAGCAAAGAATGCAGCAGCCTCGAACCGAGACTAGAAATCCCTCGGTGTCAGCGGCCGTGCTAAGGCAGAGCCAGCTGCCTTCCGAAACCTCGACGTTTCTGCTGGACTAGTCCTACTAGTCTTGGAACTGAACGAGCGCGAGCTCCAGAGGGGCCAGCTCCCTTATGGCAATAGGCACGTGTGCCTCCAGTTGGGATGTCTCCATTGGGACAAGGAAGACATAGAGGAGACACTACCCAGCTTGAAGGTGGTGCAGGTGGGCACAGAGTTTCTAAGAGCTGGTCTTTGGGCATTAAGTAAAGCCTAACAGAGCTAAGAGGCTAAGTAGAGCCATGGCAAACGTGCTATGAGCAGCCCAGCCGCCCCGTAAAGGATGAAGCGCTGCTGCTTAAAGCTGCTTGTTTAGTTGCTCCCCTCCCACTTTTTGCACTATGGAAATGATGATGTCGCCACTGCATCCTTGGAGAAAAGGCCACGGGTCGCAAACACATGAGATGACAGCTCTGCCTCCCTCCTAGCCCTGGAATCCATTGTATTCGTGCCCAGCAAACTGGAGGCAGCTGCCTGCAGCCCCTGAATAGAAAATCATCTCCATTGTTGCCAGCAAATTAAATGACCCGCTTCATTAGGCGGAGGTTGTTACTGAGGGCAGTTGGTTTGTGCTGAATGAAAGGCTGATTTCCATTAAAAGAAAAGAAAGAATGAAAGAAAGAAAGGAAGGAAGAAATGTACATTTTGATTTCATGTGGCTGCTGATGTTTTGGTTACTGCTTACACGCTCATAGTAAATAAGAGTGGTGCCATATGTGCTGGATGGATAGAATTTCCTCCTGCAAATAAGTATTACGGTACTTGGAGATGCTGCACACAGAGGAAGGTGCTACTGCTCGGTCATTATTCAGTCCTCTCTCTTGGTTGTTTGCTCTTAAGTTTAATTTTTCTCCCCTCTGCATTCCCAATGTCTGCCCATTTAAAGAAAGAAAATGGGCACTTTTGGGGTGCCAGTGCTATTTTTGTCTTACATTATTCCATAGCTGTTCCTATAGATGGGGGAGAAAGTCTGCAGAGAATGATGCACAGAAATGAAAGGCATCACCTGCACTGGCGCGAGTAGGACAGCTGGAGCTGGGCAGTCTCCATCAGACGGATGTCTCCAGGACTTAGCAAGGTTTTTGCCTGGTTTCTGGAGTTCTGCCACAGTCTGAGCTCACATCCATCACTCTGCTGCTGAGCATCAGTCATTTTTGCATCTCACAGCTGTCTGTTTAAATCATCTTTAAGGGACATCAAGCTTTTCCAGGGAAAAGGAAGTGAGTCCTGTTAGAAGTGAAGAGCAGAACAGGTTAGAAGTGAAGAGCAGAACAGTTCACTGTGGTGAACATCCTTTTCTTTGCTGCCGTAATTGTTTTTCTGCAGCCAATATATCTTGGTTGGTTTTTTAACCACACAAACTACCCCTGTTCTGATTCTCTAAGTTTGCCCCGTATTTCCCTTTTTAGAGGAGGAGACACAGTGAAAAGCATAATTTTTACGTGGGAATTAACTCTACTGATAACGTGACTTCCCGGGCTCGGCTCGCCGAGCTGGGGGATCTAGGTTAATGTTATCGGGATGGATGGCCTAATAGGGATGAGCAGCAGGGGGCAAGTCACATCAGCTCCGCCTGCCCAAGCAGGATTTCGGGTGCCGGGCAGGATCAATTGCCATCAGCTCGGATTATTTCCATGGGGATGCCTAAAGACGGATCAATTGCATCAGGCAGGGGGCATTTCCACGGGGTGATGGCTCTGGTGCCTGGGTGTCCACCCCGAGGCCTTCCCACTCCGTGTGCAAGGATATAACCACCTTCCTCCTGCACTCTTCTCATAACCCACGACTGCTAGGCGAAAAGGGAACAAGATCGATCGCTTAGCCCTCAGCCCCTGTCTAAAACTGAGACTAGCCTATGACTTCCTTAATTTGGAGAGCCAAGCGAGGAAGAGAGCGGGCAGAGAAAGCCTTGCTGGTGCCACTGCACCAAGCCCGAAGCCCGAGGGGGCAGCCGAGGAAGGGGAGCGTGTCCTGGCCGCCGCAGCCAGGGCTCACGCCGCGCGGCGCCGCAGTCGCTCCCTTTCCCACCCCGCGTTCCTGTCTCCTCGCAGGCGAAGCCGTTCACCTCGCTCGGGATTTCGGCTATGTGTGCGAGACGGAGTTCCCGGCCAAGGCGGCAGCCGAGTACGTGTGCCGGCAGCACGCGGACCCCGCCGAGCTGCATGCCAGGAAGAACATGCTGCTGGCCACCAAGTGAGTACGGGGCCCGGCGGGCAGCCCCTCGCACAACGGCAGCTTTGGCCCCAAAGCTTATTCCCGCGCTGGTAAAATCGGGCCTCAGATGTTGCATGTAGACAAACCCAAAAAGATGTGAAGAATTAGTAAGGAAGCAAAAAGCAGCTTGAATCTCCAGGCAAAGCTGCATCCCTGCAGCTTTCCAAGGCTGTCTAAAGTAACACGATGGTTTCTCTTTCAGGCAAATTTGTAAAGAGTTTGCGGATTTGATAGCCCAGGACCGCTCGCCCCTCGGAAACAGCCGCCCCTCACTCATCTTAGAGCCTGGCGTCCAGAGCTGTTTGACTCATTTCAGCTTGATAACCCACGGCTTTGGGGGCCCAGCCATCTGCGCCGCGCTCACAGCCTTCCAGAACTACCTGGTGGAGTCCCTGAAAGGGCTGGATAAAATGTTCATGAACAGCACGGGGAACGGGCACGCGGCCGGAGACTCCAAAGGCTCGGAAAAGGAAGCGAAGCATCGGAAATAACCAGCTGCATCCCTCCCGCTCCCTCGGGAGCGCCATGCCCAGCGCCGGGGGAAGGCTGCGCGGCCCCGGGGGAAGAAAGACAACCCGGGGCCCTGTTCTCTGAAGTGCTGCATTTGGACGTGGGAGGAAACTCGCAACGAGGGGCGGGGAAAAAGACTTGGGGAAAAAAAATATGTAAACAACTCTAAAGGATATAGTGAGATTCAGAGAGAGAGAAAAAAAAAAAAAAAAAAAAAAAGGTTCATGGCTTTGGGGCTTTGCCTTTTTGTTTTTTTTTTTTTTTAAACATGGATGCAGGAAGATAAGTTACGTGCAATTTTTATTTTGTTTTTGATTTTTTTTCTCCCCTTAATGAAATCCTGCTGTACTCCAGGAATTTGTTCCAACTGAAAAGCTGAGAAGAAAGGAAAGGCCTCGGCAACAGCAGAACCTGAGACCCGAGCAGCAGAGCAGGAGGGAGCCGGAGCACTGGCTGTACCTGGTAGCATCATGTGTTGGTGACAGGCAAACACCTTGGAAATGTCCCCGTTTCACCACGGGCAGCCCAGGCCTAGAGCCAGGCCAAGAAAACTCCTGCCGGAATGGCCTTGGACGTCATGCACTAGCAGGACTTGGTCTGCAACCTTCAACAAACTGAGCCTCGCTGTGGATTTTCCCCAGGGCTGCGGAGCCTGGAGCTGTATCCTGAGGGAAGGAGCAAACCTCGTGCCTGGATCGTTCCCAAGGCGTGAAGGCATCCAGGGGAATCCTCCCAACTTCGATGGCCACAGCAGGAGGGATGAAGCAAGTCAGGAGGGCCCTTGCTTAGGGCCATGATTAAAACTCCATGACCTATAAGTGACAGCACAGAAGTTTCTAAAAAATAATAATAATAAAGCACAAGGAGCAGAACTTGAACCAGGCCAAACTGAACTGTTCTAAATCTGTATATATTTATTTATGTGTAATTAAATCTAAAAGTTTTAAAATGTCCTGTGCAAGTTATTTATATTGAATTGAGTTGGGTCTTTTTTTTTTTTTTTTCCTTTTTTGAGAGATGAAATTCTTTGGATTTTCTGCCATTAGAAATGGGAATGAAGTTTTGGATACACCAAACTGTAGCATGGACAAGATAGGCTGTGATGATGATGACTATAGAAGTTCTGCAGGATTTTGTACTTGCTGTTGTTCCTCTTAATGCTGCAATAGATGTACAACACCCACTCCACAATGTCATTCTCATTATCTTAATAAACCTCTTTCTATTTGGAAAAAAAAAACCCAAATCACCTTCATTGTCTTTGTGAACTGGGATCCTTCTGTTTCGGTGGTTACATCGTGAAATAGTCTACAGATTTAAGATAAAGTGTCTTCCAGCTTCACAGGCGCCCTAAATGTCACACACTGATGTGCCCAGTCAAACTGGTAGCACCATGGAAGCTATAAGGGTGAGGAAAGACATAAACTGACTGCACGAGGAAAGACCAAAAGGACCAGAGCTGCTCTGCCCGAGAAGGACACTAGCAGTACAGGATAAAGAAACAGAAAGCAATAGTATAAAACACAAACAGGGAACGATTACATTAATTTCACCTGGCAGCCAGGCTCTGGTTTTCTCGGGCAGCAGATCTGCAGTGTGTGAATGTGAAGACCTAACTGGCAGGCTCTGCAGATCCGGTGTCTCCGTGGGCCTTCCAGAAAGAAGAGTTAGGCAACAAGGAGAAGCCGAGGAGCAGGATGGAAATAGAGACACATTAGAGGCTTGTTTACACTTCAAAGCTGAAAGCACAAAAGCTACTCCTAAATAAAATTATTCCAAAATAGGACTGCCCTGTTCTGCATTAGCATAATCCATGTTTAAAATGGATTATGATAAAGGAGAACAAGGTGCTTTTGTGCTAGAATACAGGTTTTCCTACATGGAGTTATTTAGGAATAATTATCCCGATATAATTCAATTTGTAGACACGTTCTGGTGCGTAGCATCAGAGAAGCACAAACTCCATGCCAATGCACGATGAAAGCACGCATGTCCACACTATAACATGCAGTGAAATGTCATTTCATCACACAATCATATTATGAAATCTGACTTGATTATGGTACTCCTGAGTATCAAAAAATTCTTAGACATAGCAATGATGAGCAAGACAATCAAAGCAACAGGATATACCTACAGTAATTACATACTGCGTTCACCAGCCAGAGAAATTACTTCCTTTCTCATTTTCCGTCTTGGATTGCTGCAAGTCTTTTGAATGTTTCATGAGGTAGAGTCTGGTGCCTAAAAGGCGAGGAGGACATTACATCAATTGCCTTTTAACTGGGACGAAGTTTGATGACTTGGATTCAGATGCTGATGTTGGGTATGTCACATAGGATCAAATTTTGTAAAGTATTAAGATTCTCATCTCCCAAAGAAACTAGAAAGCTTGCAAAACTCCACTTCTATGTGCCTGCATCAATACTTTAAAAGATCATAGATTTTAGAGGTTGCATCAAGTCATTTCTTGCTCGCAAGTAAGTTAGTGCTGGAGGTCCCTTTCCAAGGTCACTGTCAAACAAGACCATCCCCTGGTGGGTTCTCTGCCTTTCCATCCTAAGAGAGAGAAAGGCTTTTTGCACAATTCAGTGCCCAACCCTGGTATAAATTCCCACACTGATTGCAAATATCATCATGGGAAAATACATCAGATTGTGACAAAGAATAAAAATAGATTCAGACTCATGGTTCCTACTCTTGTTATAGAACACTTTGGAATTTCAACCCTAAAGGGGAATTGAATTTTTTTTGAATTAATTTTGAATGAATAACAAGTCCAGGGAAGCCACATGACAATTCTTGATAAGTAAAAAAAGAACATTGCTAAAAATTCTTAATTCCCTAACAGTCGGCTAATTCCAAGGGTAAACCGAGGTTCACGTTGAACTGGGACTCTATATTGTATCATTAACATAAAGAAGCAGAGGTTGTGTGTTGGCATCTTGCATTACTCTGGCAAGCTAAATAATTATGTTTAAACAGCCTATGTTAAAAATGACAGCATAATAATAACTCTCTGTGCTGAAACCTGACAATAAGCAGACTTCAGTAGCCTGTAGTTAACACATTCTTTCATGTATGAGATAGTCCCTTAAATTCCAGACTTTACATATAGAGCCCAGGGAACCACACAGTCAGTGAGCAAGGAAAATTTTTTCCTGTTGGTGCAATTGAGGCAAAACACTAAAAACCAAGCTCTTTGCAAATAAGACAGTAAAACAAATGCTATTTGCAAGAGAGAAAAGGCTTGCTTTGGAGATTATTGTGGCAAGCTAGGCAGACAGCACGGTTGTCACATGCAGCACACCACTATAACCTTAATTACATTAAACTTGGTCAGAAATACCCTGAAATTCATCACACAGAACCTGAACATGCTGAGCCAAAAGGTATTGTTTTGGTCTCCACTGTACTGCAAAGAAATCCCACTGCAGCCACCCAAGCATCAGTGCACTTTCAAGAGTAATATAAACAGCAGTAGTAACTCGGCTGCACAGGGGCTGATATATTAGATATATTAGATATATTAGATAGGCTAGATATAGGCTAATTATATTCCAGCATTTGACCCCCTAATCACAGTACTGAAGGCACCACAGTTACCTTTTACCTAGGCACTGCGGAGGGCTCCTTTATGTGTTGTTTTATATTGACACCTTCAAATGCTTATTCTGCTTAATTCTCCCCAAGAAATAAGATATTAAAACTATAGCAAAAGCATTTCCCATAAAGATGAGCCCAATTTTAGTGACAAGCTCCTCATTAAAGAAGGGTTGTTAAATGCAGACCACTCCAGTTTCTAGGGTTGTGGGATTAGTTTGGAGAAAGATCAAGGTATTGCTCCAAGTCAAGTCATTCCCAGCTGCAGCAGGTCGAGACGTGTCTGGATGCTAGGAGCCTCTCACCTTGTGATGGGCTGTCCCTGCAGAACTGCCTCGGGCTCATCTCCTGAATTCCTTCACTGCACCAAGTCTGAAACTGGTTAAAAATCCCCAAAGGCAGCATTTTCCTAGTTGACCTGCACTCGACAAACAGAAAGAGATTCGTCCATCACCTTTCCTTGCTCAGTTTCTGATGACGTGATTCTATTCATCACCTCAGACAGAGACATTTCAGTTAAAGCCATAATAGCATCTTAGTTTCGTTCTCAAGTATATGTTCTCACCTACATGAGGTGAAGCACATTTGTTCCATCGGCTACTCTAGACCTCCACAGGTACAACCCACCCCGTGTTACAGACACAGAGTGGACCCACCAAGCCTTTTATTAGAGGAATTTTAGATTATCGGACCATTTATAAGCCGTGCCCTACCAAGCATAAAGGAAACTCATCTGTAAAACTCTGCTGCAGGCACCTGCTGTGGAAAGACAGCTGTGTTCCCAAAGCGGGAAGAGGGAAGACCATTGAGGTAGCTCTCTGAGTAGCAGGAGCAAAGGGCCAGGGGACTCATTCCTGTTATAAATGTACATCATAGCACTTTTGAGATGAGTATGTGGCAGTTTTCAAACCTTCTCTGGGTAGGAAGAGAAAGAGTAGAAAATAGTTTGGTGGCTGGTGCTTGAACATTGGGATGAGAGGTAGAAATCCAGGCGTTCTGCACCTCTCTGCACCCAGCAGACTGCAGGCAACACTCCCTCCTGAGCAAGCGAGGCAAAACCAGGAGCTTCACTTCTCAGGCGCTCAGGGGCACTCGCAGGGTCCAAGTAGCTCTGAAAATCGCGCCAGGAAAAGGGGGCTCTTCATCCACAGCAGCCCTCAAGTGCTAAGCAGCGAGGAACAGGAGCCAGCGAGCCCCAGAAGGAGGCACACCCTACTCTCTCCTTTAAATAGCATTTGTTTGTGTTTCCCAAATGCCATTTTGAGCCCCTTGTGCTGTTTTGGCTGTTTCTCCTGGTTATTGCAAGGCGGATGGTGCCAGCAGCTCCTCACAGAAGGAGGAGCTGCTACCAGAAACCTCGGAGCCCTTATTCATCAGAAAGCTCAGCAGAAGCTGAGCTCCTCTAAAGACTGCATCATGGGGGGATGTTTCTTTTCCACCAGGCTTACATTTCAGCACGAAGCAAATAATTAACATTTTCACAAAGAGCCATTTTGCTGGAGTCAGTAATCCTGACAGTAGTTAAGTTTCATTGTGACTCTTTGTGAAAATAAGGGAAAATTCAAACTAGGAGGGCAACGCGTCAAAGGTTCCTGGGCTGGAGGTGTTACAGACACCGCTAAGGAGGAGACTAGTGGAAGGGCTAGTTTGCTTAGTCTGGACAAGAACAGCCTCTCACATCCCCTTTGTGATCTGCTCTTTGGAGTCTTAAATGGACCCTGGCACCACAGAGAATTGCTTCAGTCCAGACCTCCCACTCCTGACCCATTTTCATTTAATTTTCTCTCCCCAGCCTTGTCATGTCAGGAGTACATTACAGGAGTGTATTATACCTTCCAGAGTTTCCTGCTAATTTGGCCCTCATAGTAAGCACAGTAATTACCGTGCTAAATCAGGCTGCAGCCTTTAGTACAAATTACTCCTTTTTTCCCCCCCCCTCTCTGGAAGAAAGACCCAATTCTGCACAGTTCTCTGGAGCCCAACAAGGAGCAAGGGACATCCGTGTCTGTGCGGGATGTTGCTCCTCACAGCAGCAAACAGAAAGAAGAACAGATTTTCTGCAGATTTTGGAACCAATGCAGAAGCCAAACCCAAAAACCTATGGCTTTGCAGCTCCTAAATACATCAGCAGAGGTTAACCTCAAATCCTTACCCAGCCTATATAAACAGCTCCGTGCTGGAGGCAGGCTGACCTCTGGCAATGTTCACACAGCAGCCTTCCCCAGGTTTCATCAAAGCACAGGCAATAAACACGAAGGTAAATACAAATTCACAAGCTAAAGAATATCAGATGCACCAGCCCAAAGCCTTAAATTAGATGATTTGGTTTGGTTTCTCATGTATTTCGGGTGGATACTGGAAACAAATGGAATCTAGGACCCAGTTTCAATTGTTTTCTTTTTAAAGAAGCCCACTCGGGATTGTAATATTTTAAAGATTATTTATAAGGCAAAATAAAACAAGTTTGAATTTTCCTCTCAGCTAAAAAGAGTGATAAAGCAGAAGTTAGTGAGCTCAGGAGACCTTAGTCCAGTGGAGAAACAACCAGTATCGTTGCTGGGCAGTGTGTCAGTAGCAACTACGCGTTCCCCATAAGGCAGGACTCCCGTGCCCGTTGGATCCGTGCGGAGATGAAGCAGCCGGACACGTTCGTGTGCAGGATCAGTGCCCTCTGCCGAACGCCGAGGCCGCGCGGCCTCTGCCCAGCCTCGCCAGGCAGGGCCATCCCTTGCATTAAGGGCAACATTTAGCCGTGGAGACCAAGCAGCACTTAAGCCCCGAGGCTCTTTGGTGGGACTGTAATAGGGCACCGTCAACAGTCCCACAGAAACCCACACGAATTAGGATGGAGCCAGCTTTAGCTTTGTCTTTGGGAAATTAAACAGATAAGATGCATTATTTTCCATGTTTGTACATAAACACCAAAACTACCCCGTGACCTCAACGCAGCCACTCCTAAGCACCGTGTGCTGCACCCAAGTGATCTTCTCAGCTTGAAGGCAACCACAGCTCAGTCCTTTCCCATGTCCAAGGCTCAAGGGAAATTTAATTAAAAATGAAAGGTTTCCCCCTCCCCACCGCTGAACAAAAGCTACTGAAATTGGTAAAAAAAAAAAAAAAAAAAACCACCACCTGTATAAAGCAAAAATCTGCCTCACTACCATTATTATCCTATGCTAGCATATATATAGTTACTACATATATGGATACTAAACACCATTTAATCAACGGAGTGCTAGGACAGTAGCACTGTATTTGCAAAGGACAAGGTCTATTAACCGTGGAAATGTGCAAAACGTTGTACACCACCAATGAAGCAAGGAGTAAAACAACCAGGATTTGGGAAAATAAGCACCCCAACCTGCTTTCATTAAGTGCCAGACCCAGCCTGAAGAAGGTTAAGAAGAATTTCACCAAAACACACTCACCCAGGTCACCATCTCAGACAACAGGGATATTTGGTCGGCCCCATCTTGCGGCCTTCAGGCGGTTTGGATTATTGCCTTTCAGAATCAAGTTAGCCATAGATCACAAACGGACCCTGCTTTTGCTCGTATTCAGATGTTGGCCTATGCTTTACTTCTACTTCTGTATAGATTTGATTAGCAGGGTTTAATTTTCTTTAAAAAGAACTTGCTAATCTTTAATGCTTTCCTACTTTACATTGAGAACGTCCTGGTAATTCTGAAACAGATCCCTTTAAACATCCTTTCCCTCCTCACTATTCATAAACAGAAGGGTTTTCTCTACCCCTTCCACAGCTGGCTCGAGTTAGGCGACATGAACAAGCTTATTGGATAACTACCTAATTGCACGTTAACACAGAACCAAAACGCTTAAAATGTCACTTTACATTTTCAAGACAACTAACTTTTATTTAACATAGTCCTCGGCAGATCACAGGCGCACAGGGGTTCAAACTTGTCAAGGGCATGGAAAATGCGATGAGTATTAATTTCAACATTTTCATTTTTCTATTTTAATCCACTAAAGCAACTTCTTCCCCTTTAGCTTGATCAGTGCTCACATGAAAATTTCCTGCACTTTGTTACTCTTGATGGCAGACTGATAACACACTGAACCTCAGCATAGGGTTAAACCTTTGAAGACAAGAATTTTAAAAGGATTGAAGGATAAATCTGTTTTTATGAGCAGGATAAACGTATTCTCTTTACATACAGGCAATGTGTACTGTGCTACACAGGCAGTAAATTTCTAGGAAAGCACAGGCATTGCTGAATGAGCCGGGGTGCTCTCCTCATGAGCAGCCCTATGCAACAGCCGAGTACAGCAGGAGAGGGAGGTGTTTTCGTCTTTCATTAATTGTCTTTCATTAGTTTCATTACTGAAATTAATTTCATTAATTTTCTTCCATCTTTCATTTCAATAATCTTTCATTAATTTTGGAAAACAAAAGCCTTTTCCTCCAGAACCAATCCCTTAACAGGGCAAACCACCAACGTGCAGTTTACACAGCAGCTAATTCATATTTCAACTTTTGTTAAAGTCTTTTTTTATCTTGAGCTGCTGCCCATGTTCAACTGTCACTGCGATCCCATGTCCACAAAGCTCTACTACCCAGGGAGGTTTCTAGCCACCCTTGTCATTTTTAAGGCTGCAGGACACCCCACTACGTTACACGTTGTCACTGTGTGCAGTTACACCAGGCAGCTGACCACAGACACTGACAACCTTCTGTGTTATTATGCTTCTAATAGGCATAAAGTTACACAAGGAAATGTAGCTTTTCTTGCACAAAAAGATAAGTCAACACCAAGGAAAGAGCTTCTCCCTGTATAAAGGCATTTCTAAGGTTTACCAACACAAGCCCAGTGCTTGTGCAAGCGGCATAAGCCACTTCTTGTAGTTTAGGCCAGGCCTCCGAGGGCTGCACCTATGTGAGATGCTTCTTTCAGCAAAGCTCCTAATGTCGACATGGCCTAAGGCTCACGGGCTCTGTTCCCTTGTAAACCGATCTTACAGCAACCCCTGAGCTCGAGGAGATGAGCTGGTGCAACGATCTGTTACACACGCGCAGCGCTCAGGAAAAGACCATCTTTAAACAGGAAACCTGAAAGGAGAAAAAGTGCCTTGTTAACTCTTTAGGCCCTGAGGCTTTGGTAGTAAAACATATGGTCAGCATTACCAGCCAGAGCAAAGCAGCATAGCTCACTGTGGATGAAACAATAACCACAAATACTTTACCTTTGTTAAAGCATGCTCTTTTAAAGTAGATACGTGAAGATCCAAAAGTAGTATTAGACAGAACTATTCTTTGCAGGAATTATGCTTACAGAGAAGAGAAGGTAGATGTTTTTGGAAAGGAATGCTTTTAAAAGGTATTCTTGGATTCTAGGTAAAACACAGCTTCCAAATGCTTCAAGGCTAAAACTAAAGCAGTTACTGTAAATAAGAGGTTCCTCTTCCCCCCAAGGACCCGAAATAGGAAATCTCAAGCACTTATCAAACAGATCATATACTACACTTAGGAAATCACAATTTAAGTTTCTGTGAATCTCAACGTCAGTACTATGGATCTTTAAAACAATGCACAAAGTTGCACTGAGAATATTATTTCTCTCTGTAAAAAGTGTAAATAGTAGAAAAAGTCCCCCAAAGACAAACTACTTAGAAAGAACATCCTGATGTTTTGGACCAGTTCTTTTGTTCTGCTTCACAATAAGCGTCCGTATTTATTCATTTCTAGACGTTGCTGCTCTGTTGGTTTCTCATGCAACCCCTTCCATCTTTCAGTCAATGGCAGATTCGGAGCCTGGCTCTTGCCCTCGGGCAGAACATATGTTCCACTCCAACCTGAATCCAACACGGGTGTTTGCAATAGAATATCCATTTTATGTTTATTAATCACCTGCATGCAAATTGCTGTCAATAAAAACTCCAGACAGCTCCTCTGCCAAACTAACATGATCTAATAGCAGCACATCCCAGTTCTGGGGTCTGTGGAACAAAGAGTATCTCCAATAAGACGACATTTCTGCTTTGATATGCAGTGACAAAAATATCACATCAACTTAGTCACTCTGCAATGACTTTGAAAAGAGAGACAAGAAACCTGCAAAAACATTCAAGATCAGTGGTAAAATAAATTAGAGATGCTGCATATCAAACTAAACAAAAAAATACATTAATGCAACATGAAAGGGTGAGATTTCAATTACAGAAGAACTAGGAGATTCTTAAGATTTTACTTATGTTAAATGAGGCCTGCCAAGAAGAAATACTTGGGATTTCCTCTCTTATAGTTGAAGAGTTGAAAGAGTTTTTCAAAGATGATCCATTTTAGTAAAATGTTATATGTCACTGGTTTTAAATAAAAGCCATTGCAGCCATGACTACAATAAAAACAGCTGATAATTAAATTCACTCTGGAAAGAATTAAAAACTACAAAGCCTGATGGAGCTTGAGTTCAAAATTAGATTTAAGGGCAGTCTTAAGGAGCAGGATCGGTTAAAGCACTGGAGACAAGTTTCTTTGGTGACACTGAGCAAGTCTCAATCTCTTAATCCAGTTCACACACCCTGTAAAATAAGAATACAGGGAAAGATCAAAAAAGCCTCGACAAGCCAGGACAGCTTGTCTCAGTTACTCACCTTTCCCAATCATGAGACCTTAGATATTGAAACATGCAGCACAAATTGTCTACATAAAATCATACACAACCATCTTCATTTTCAGATTGGAAACTAGGTTTCTATAAAGCAAATGGTGGATATATTTGGAAGTATTCAACAGATGCTGGTACTTTTACTATGAAATATTTCTGTCCTGTTTGTTGTACTTTAATACAGAATTGTGAAAGTGGGTAACATCGCATCATCTAGAAAACACAGTATCAGTTTCCCCATATATAAGGGAGCTTTAGGCAGAAAGATTTTAATGAGGAAAATAAACTTTACACAATGTCGCAGCATAGTAGAGAAAGAATATGCAACCTGAATGTGCAGCCATCAACAATGCATCAAGTTTCATGCTCATTGTGAATGATTTACTTAAATACTTTGGGGAGGGATCAGTGGAATAAAAAGATAAGACTGGCTATATAAATGTCAATCTTTATTCGATATCCCAGTACATGACTTGTGTGCCTCGAATGAATAGAAAAATCTGAAAGTGAACAGGGAAAGAAAAGAAAAAAAACAGATCATGGAAGAAAGACCTTAGGGGTTAGGATACCACTTTTGGAAGGGGTATATTGTCCACTTCATGGATGCCATCTTTGTCAATGAACCGGACATTGAAAGAAGGCAGATTCAGGATGAAGCGTTTCTGAAGCTGTTCAACAAAAGACAATAGAGATGAGATACATTTAGATACATTTAATGCTTAAATAAAAGCACAATTTAAGGGATGTGCTAGTGCACATCAAGAAAATTCTGCCTTATAACTTTTCATCCTGGCTGTTCCTAGTATCTCAGGTCACAAAAGCTAGTGCTTTTTACTGCTTAGGAATCTAACAGTACAAGAAGGTGGGGTTTTTTTTGTGTTATAAGATTGTCCTTGTTAGACCAGCCTGACTAGGCTAGAGGTGCAAAATACACCAATCCTGCTAACATGGAAGGCATTTAAGGATCAGGAAGGTGAGAGTGGCTACAGTTTCGATCACAAAGTGTGTATTTCAAAAAGATGTCAAATAGAATTTCTCATTAATACTATTCCCAAGATTTTCCTAGTTGTTTCCTATCATTTTTGATTCAGTTCTGTCTCTTGAAGACAGACAAGATTTTTTTTTTCCCCTCTACAATGAAAGGCTTGCAGTCTGAGAGGATATATTTATGCTAAAGTGGATCAGCTTCCTAAGATCAAATTTTTATCTCAGATATTCCTCATAAGCTGGAAGAGAAATGTGCTTAAAAGTATGGACTGGTTATTTTCATGTAATCCAAACAAAAGAAGGATACTTGCATTATGTTCAGAAACAACATAAAAGGAAAAGTCAAAGGCTGTCTGTATCAATATTATGCTAAGCTTGGAAGAAGCAGAAGTAAAGAAAAGCAATTAAGCTTAAAGTTTACATTCTGGAGGACATGAACCATACTAAGACAACGCAAGTGCCCACAAATCCTTTTCCTCAGTAGCTACTCCACATCTGGTCAATGTGTATTTATTACCCCTTCTGGCAAAAGCAAGGAAAAATGCAACAGGAGGAACAGGAAAAATACCAGCAAATGAATGCAAACAAACATTCCTTTCTCAAGATCACACAGGCTTAAGTTTGGCAACTCACCTCCTCTAGACATTTCTTTAGGAGCTCTATAGCTTCCTCACGTGTCATACCTGAAAAAGAAAACATCCCCAGGTTGCTTTAATTAGAGGCCATCTCTCCCAACAGAAACTTTATTAAATTTAAACAACTCCTCAGCTGAGCACCAAAACCTCTCCTTCTCAGCTCACAGAAAACACTTTCCAGATGTACTGAGGATGCCCTGCGCTGAAGCGCTCCCGCTGCAACAAGCCATTGAGAATCGATTTGTTACACTGAATGGGAAGCATGACGGAATTTCGCCTCCCATAGCCAGGGCCTGGGCTCCGGAGAAGTCCAGCCGTCTCTCTCTCTCCTCGAGTTTATTACAGTTTTAAATCAGCTCCATCTGTCCACAGCCGGCTGCAAGTCAGTGAGAGGAGGCGGAGATTGGTTTTAGTGCTACATTCCCTGCTGGGTATTAGCTTTAATAATGGGAAAGGCACGTGTGTGATGCCCCTGCTATTCTCACACATTAGGATAAAACCCGGCACTCTAAAGAGATGGCAAGCCATGACAACATATTGCAATTCATTAATTTTCTCCTTTCACAAAGGATAAGGAAAACAGAGCAGCATCATTTTCAAAGGACATGAGAAATTGGGGGGGGAGGGAGGGAAACACACAAAAAAGCACGAAGGTCTGTGGATCACATGCAAGTTGTTTCTAGAGGTTTTGTTTTTGGCTTTTTTTTTTTTTTTTTGGTTCTACACCTGCACTCATTGTTTAGGCAGAACTCCCATTAGAATAAAACTGCCAGCTTAGGGCTGGATTTGTTGCAGGAGAAAAAGTATTACTAACTGAATAGCTATGCTACCAGCTCCACACACAAGGAGTGAGCTAGTTTCATGGCTAAATGCAAAGATGACAGATGAACCATATCCCCATCTTTGTACATTTTCTCATCTGTGTATATGGATGTTATTCTTTGACAATATAAGAACTGAATTATGCTTCAAAAGATAAGACTTTAGACAGGTTTTGGCACATAGACAAATTATGATGAACAGTTACCATGTGCATAAAACTAAAACAAATCAACGAATCTCAGTCACATTTCAGAGGACCAAGATAATCTTGCTAGGAAAGAACATACTTTCACTTTGTTTTTTTCTCTAATATAACAAAAATCAAGTCAGTCCAAGATACAAATCTGAGACTACACTGAAGATTGATACTTTGGAAAAATGTATGTTGCACAACCAAAAGACAAGCAAAGAAGAACATAAAGGTATCAAACTGCTCTTTATTAAACACAAACTAGCAGCTAATAGCCCAAGGAAGCCTAGCCATGTTTTAGAATAAATGAAACTTTAGTCTGTTGTGCTTTAAATGAGAAAACACTTTAAAAGGTTGTCTAGTTTCACATTACCAATTACAGCAAAAACAGAAGGCAATTTTTAAAGTTACATTTTTAGCCTAGCAAAAAGTTCAAGTCTGTAATACTGCAGTAATTGTACTGGACTGGCTGGCTCAAACATCAAACTCCAATTTTTAACCCTTTAATTTACCAATCAGGAGGAGAAATCCTTTCCTCTCCACAGGCTTTGCTTACCTGGCTTGTAATAGCGGTCCAGGATGGTGAGGGTAAGGAATGCACCGTATCCATGTGCTGCAAAAGGAGCTTTCGCCAGAGCCGCAAGATAATCCATGTAATAAAGGGTAGGACCTTCATGGTCATCGTAGCCGGCCAAGAGCAGGTTGACATGGTAAGGGGTCTGCAAAGAGAACCACGTTCGTTAGGACAGCCACACCCAAACCCTTCAATCTTAATTCCCTGTTATGCACACAATATCAACAGAGCTGATTTATATATTTATGAGCATAATAAAAACATTTTACAGAAAACTTTAACTTTGCTGTTGCCTCAGTTGCATTGCAGGCAACTATAGACCATTTTAACAAATAAAAACACTTACATACAGTGTGAACAATTGTAACATTATGCTGTCTTTTTAATTGGCAGCTAGACTCATTGCACGAACCACCTTTAGTTTTTAATATTGGGCTAACATGATCATATGAGTAAGGAAAAGTTAGGAAATCTGTTTATTTCCATTCAAAACAGACAACTACTTAGATACGGCAATATTTTTCAAAAATTTTCACTGCAACTTAATACAGGACTAACTCCTCTATGCTGGGACTTGGGATCTTCTTTACACTTCAATCCTTTCAGTCTTGTTTACTCAACATGACCCAAACTGTCACGCACTGACCTACCAACCCCAGAGTCGATGAGGATGCAAATGTTAGCTTAGTATTACCTATACTTAATAAATGCACAGCCCTCCATTTAAGATGCAGCTTTGGATTTTAAGTAAACCCAGACCAAGGGTTTAAAGCTCTTTTAAAGAGTGCTATGATCTCAAAGATCTACCAAAGAAGTTGGCAGGCTAACACTTCAGGAGAAATTCAAAACAGCATCTTTTTGCTAATTTAACCTCAGTGTTGTAGGCAATATTTCTCATCCAAAGCAGCTTTACACTTCATGCTGTTTGATTTAAAATAACTCCAGTGATTAAGAGATGTGTGAAGTTCTGCAGAATTTACAGCTGAGGAGAAGAGCTGTGATAAATACACTAAAACACCCAGATCAGCAACGGGAGGCTGGGCGGTGACAAGCAGCGGTGTGACATCTGGCGGAAGCCAAAGTCACAGCAAGGGGGAGAGGTGGGCGTGAGGAAGCATCCTGCCAGGCGTGGACAGGCAGAGAGAACTGACAACCTTTGGATTGGGGCCAGACCCTGTCACCTATAATTAAACATAGCATCACAACAAGAAGCTGCACGATAGCGGCTTTGGGGGAAGAAGCAGTTATTTTGGTTCCCTCCAAGCACCCCAATAATGTGCTGCAACTTAATGCAGTATGTGCACCGAGCCCGGCGCTTGCACAACTGGCAGGGGAGCCGGCTGGGGGGCTGAAGAAGGTAGCTGTGCAAGTGCAGCATCACCACCTCACACAGAAGCCAGCTGGCACCAAAGCAGTTTCCAGGTTAGCCTCAATTGCAACAAAAGTGGAAACCAATACAGACTTTTTTTAAACACTGGACAGAAATGCAAGATAGAAAAAAAAAAAACTTTTAAAAACACACACTGCCTACTTACTCATCGAAAAAGAGCATGGTAATGCAACGAGTTCAAAGTTACAAGCCCAAGGTCACTACACTTTATGCTTTGCACCACAAGAAACTGAGGGATACACTTACAAGCTCATCAAGTCACTCCTAAAATAACATAGCACCATTTAATTCACTTCTTATAGTACAGCTGCTCCTTCCTGACCTTGCATGTTTAACATAACCATTTAACTATTGAAACTGTCCTGGGAGCCATGTAAGTTGTAAGGCCCCCTTTCTGTACTCTAGAACATGATTGTATTTTTCCAAGACTAATTTTTTAGGTAGTCCTATCAGAGAAACACGGATGCCATGATACACTCAACCCAGAAGCCAGACAGTGGTTAATAGTAAAGAACAAGCTCTCTTCTGGGCTGAGCTGTGACAGCTGTTTAGTGCCCCAAATCATCTTATTTCAGAGCTTTTTAGTGTCCCAAATCATCTTATTTCAGTACCAGTCTCTCCCAGATTTTCCTAAGCCCTCCATAACAGAATAAGAGTTTTACATGGTAAAATGTCAATATACCAACAAGCTAAGCATCTTTTCCCCATCAAATTCTCTACTTCTAAACTATTTCCTCCTCCTAGCAGAGATTATCACCTTGCTGTTCTATTATCAGGCACATAATTAACAGGCTCCTGGAATACGATATGCAATTTAAATAAAGTTAGTTCATGGCATCAAATTCAAAATGCTGCACACAAATCATGAAGTTATCTTTAAAGGAGCAGGAGGGGAAACAAAAAGGAAAAAGAAAAAAAGAAAGAGTTCTCCCTGCAGTACAGGGATCGCTCTAGTGTGACAGTAGTGTCAAAGTGCACCATTTGCTCTAGGCATTGCCATCTGCAACAGCACAACATTTTGTCTCCGGTAAATAAACACATCTGCCTTTGCCAGTGTCCTCCCCACTGTGCTGCCCATCTGGAGCAGGTGAGCTGGAAGACAAGCATGGGCTCAGGAAGCAGGGGAGGTGCCAGAGAAGATCCGGGCTCGAGGGACATGGCACATAGAGGAAAACGACAGTGCCCCATCATGTCACATCCTGCCAGCCAGGTTTGCAAAAGAGCTTGTTATTGATTATGACCCTCGTTAGTGGGATTTTCAGTCTTACATAATGACTGCCTGACTGTGCACAAGTGGGCAGAGCCAAGTCAGCTTCACCTATGGCACACGGGGGGGTTACAGGAGAAGGTGTCGCTGCCAGGCAGCTGAGGGCCACCCAGGCACCGCATGGGCACCCAGCACGACTGCTCCTGCAGCACCAAAGAGCTCTACTCTCCTCTCCCTTTGCACTGCATCTGCTTTGTTTGAAATAAGACAGAAATATAAGTAACACTTAGAGCATCAAAGAAGCCACCTGAAGAAATAGTCAGACCTCAGTATAGCTGATCAAGTAAAATAAACAAAACAAAATTGACAAGTCATTTTTAAAGGGTTTTTTTACAGACAAAACTGCAGAGAGCTTTAGGCTAACTGCCCTTATTTGTTAAAAACAAACAAACAAAAAGAAAATCATACTATTAAAGAACTGGAAAATTGGAAAGGCAGATGCTTCAAAATGTCAAATTCTTTCAGATGCTACTCACTCGACTCCGTAGATAATCAGCTAGGTTTCTGCGTGTAAAGTTTGCAGCAGCAGTAGGAGATAATTCATAACCTGGTGAAGAAACGCATATACATTTGGTCAGAGTGCAAGTCTACAGGCATGTTTCACTTCAACGTGCCATTCCTGTTTTGAAACAACAATATATTAATGACAGCATGGTATTTAGTCTAATTCACATTTATTTCAGAAATTACAGTTATAATAACGCACATGAAAATGGCACTCAAAAATCAGGTAGCTCATGTCTATACAGACCATTAAAATGGACAGTAACAGTAAAATACTACACCTGTAGCCTGAATTTTCCATGCAAGTGTGAGGAAACACTGGCACCAGTTGTTATGCAATGGATATATTACCTATTATCATATTGTTCATTCATATTACACAAGGTTATCCTGCCTTCCTTAACACCTTTCCTTCACAACCTAAAATGCAGAAATTCTTAAAACTAGATACGCTTTAAAAAAACAAAGCGGTTTCTGCTAACATACAATTGTAAATTACACTAATTCTGCATCTCCAAACACTCATTTACACTTCTCATTCTTCACTCACCATTCCTCATTTTGTAGAGTTGAACGTTCTTTTGGATGTATTCTGCAAACTGTACAGTGTCTCCAGCCTCCCCAACACACAGGAGTAAGATCTTTTCACTCATTTTAAACATCTTGTCATGGTCTGCGTAAAGGAAAAAAAGAAGATCAAAAGTTACAATTATGAAAAGAACAAATTATTTCACCAATACCATTAACACATTACAACTTCTTGTGGAAATATTAAAATAATTGAAGAGACCTGTTGCATCATGGAATTACACCCAAAACATCTTCCAGAGCTTCTCTTTTCAAAGAAAAGCAAAGACGAAATATGTTGAGGGCTTTTCTCAAGAAAAGAGGAATTCCAGGAATACATGATTTTGTCTATACTGACATGACAACAAACATTTCAGAGACAACCATTCTAAGAGATGAATCTTAACCAGTTACAGCCAACTATTGCTCAGGTGAGACACATAAACAAGAATTCAAACAGGTTTGGTGAAAAGGAAGACTGCTCCTCAAAACTGAAGTCAGGTCTAGATGACAAATGCTAAATCTCCACATGTGAACCTCACTTCCATCTACTAAATGCTGCTGAATAACCTTCCTTGCAAGCTCTATGGCATTTCACAATCCTTTGATGGGATTTAAAGAGTTAAAACATCTGAAAAGTGTATAAAAAAATCAACATCTGGACAGTTCTCCATTTCTGTTGAGCCTGATCCGTTTTTGCATCCTACTTATAGCTGGGAGTAAACATCAGTAATACCTATATTCTCTTCAAACACCCAAAGGTTTTCCTTGATTATTCTTCAAAATAAAGACAAATAAACTATATTTTCCTGAAAGATATTCAACAAATCGTTTTACAGCAGTCCTATTATTTTGCAGAATATTTTGCCCAAAGAGGTCACATACGCATTGTGGATATGCTGAAGGGTTTCACAGTCATTTTTCTAACAAGACTCCCATTGATTGGGGCAGACTTGAAAAAAAAATGCATTACTCAGGGAGTAGCACTGCTGTAACATTAACGGTTTTGTGGAAAGTTAGCAAGAGTGCAGTGTATTTTAAGAAGAGAAGAGCAGCTAGACACACTGTGTTAAAATCTGAAAGGTCATTTTACCTTACATAATGCTGTATCATATATACAAAGCTTCTAGTCCACAGCATTGCCACGGAATGTAGAAAAAAACTGATTTTTGATTAATCTGAAAGCAGGAGAAGCCCCTTTTCCCTCACGAAAATAGATCTCAGGGCCCCGGTGGGGGCGAACCGCGAAGGGGCGACCGCGCCGCAGGCTCCCGCTGCGGCCCCCCGCCCGCCGCGCCCCTCACCGTGCTTCATCTGCAGGATGCTGGTGGCCGCCACCGAGTCGGCGGCCACCAGGACGTAGTCGGGGCCCTGGATGCCGATGAGATACTCCATGGCGGGCCGCGCCGCCGGGCCTGCCCGTGCGTGACACAGCGAACCGCCGCCGCGCGCGCATGCGCGGGGCGCGCCGCGATGACGCCGCCAGGCGCTGCTCTCGCGAGAGCTGCTGAGGCGGGAGTGACCGTTACCGTTACCGTTACCGTTACCGTTACCGTTACCGTTACCGTTACCGTTACCGTTACCGTTACCGTTACCGTTACCGTTACCGTTACCGTGAGGCGGCTCGGCCCCGCTTCCCGCCTTTTTATAGCGCTCTGGGCCCGGCCGGCTCCCGGCGGTGCCGTGGGGGTGACGGAGCCCTCGGGCTCGGGGTGTTCGGCACCGTTCCTGGTTGCAGCATGCTTGGCTTGCTGCTCGGGAGCACAGTCCCGAGGAAAAGCCTTAAGGGAGATGCATAAGGAACTGGAACGGGGGTCACCGCAAAGGCCCTTCCCGCCCCAGGCGCCTTGCGAAGCAGCGGCGAGGCGGCCCGGCGGGCCCCGCTGCGGCGGGCGACCGGGTCTGCTTTGTGTGCGAGCTCTGCAGGCGTCCCCGAGGAAAGAAAAATAAAATCCCTGCTTGCAAGGCGACGTTTCCTTAGGCACAAATTCCGCCGCCTCTGATCGGTGCAAAGGGAACTGAACTGTGAAGGGAGGCAGCAAAACCCTTCCAGGAACAGCGCGGGGGGATTATCCACTGTCTCCTCCATCGGGAAGGGCCGGCGGAGCCATGCGGAGCAGAGCCCGCGGCCGCTGCACCTACGGGATCCCGAGACCCCCCCAGGCACCATCCCGAGCCGGGATCCCCAAGGGGCAGGCTGGAAAGTTTGGTTCACTGCACCAATAAGTGTTAATAAGGGTATTTATTTCTTCCTGACTTTTAGTTTCCTGTCCGTGGCAGCCCCTGGAGCATCCCAAGCCCCGTGGCAGTGGCCAGGAAGCGCCGCCCCAGGACACCAAACCTTGGATGCTCCAGCACATGGCAAATGCCCAGCTGCACCTATCCCGAGAAAGTCACCATGTAACTATGAGAACTAGGCATAACCTTTGTGCGGTTTCAAAAATACCCAGCGTGCCAAAAAGCAGCAGCAAATTGTCTTCAGGAAACAGTATAAACGAGTGTAAGCAGCAAATTCACCATTTTGACTGTTTTCCAATTGCCCCTAGCTACACTTGTTAAATTGAGTGCTGCGTGCGCAAATCAAAACAGGATGTTTCCTTTTACCTAACAATGTCCCAGCTCCGTGCCAGTTCCTGAGTATAATTTGCTGTGTGGATCCAATCTGAAGTTTTAAACACGTTTTTCCCCGCAGAGCTCTTGTGCTTGTTACACATGTACATACAGCCAGACGAAGCAGTCGTATTTTGAGACCTCTTTTAAGGTTAACAAAAAATCAACAACTACCATCCTCGTTGGTTTTTATTGGGCTCTAGGGTACAATTAAATGTTGAGCTTGTTATTGAATTTTCTTGACAGATGGAATTCCCTTGTTTAGGAAGCACATACATACAACACACGTTACCTCTCTTCCTTACGTGAAGGTATTTCTGACATTATTAAGTTGGTAGAACAAGTGGGTTTTAGTAGGAAGGTGGATTCCTCCTTAATGAAGGCTGATTCTGTAAGGATCAGTGAAATTGAGAAGTTAAAAAAAAAAAAAAGAAAAAGCAACAAGATTGCCCATATGATAGGAAGCAGTGGAAGCAGCTTCCACTTAGTACCTGATTTGCTGGGCCTCGCTGGACAGCAAATTGGTGTAAAGATATATGTAATAAAGAAGACTCTGCAAGGACAGACTAGTTAAGGGGAAAATGGGAAGGTTGGTAAGCAAACAGAAAAGCTGGCAGGCCGGAATAGCTGTCATGTTGCTGGCTGCAGCGCTGCCAGGTCCCGTTGCGGACGCTGGAGCTGCCCTGACTGACACCAGCTGGGAGTCCAGCCTGGGCAGTAATTGCTCATCTCCACCAGTGTCACGGGCTGACCAGTACGCTCTAATTTCAGATGATATTTGCAGCGGAAAACATCACAGGCTTTTTACTAGGTGCTGATTGCTCCGGCAGAGATGCATGAGCAGGAAACCCAGACAGGTCATTACCTCAACAGCTGCAAAGCGGCAGTGTCCGTGAAGACCGCGAACCTCTCAGGAGCTCTTTTTCCTCCCTGTTATTCTTTCACCCCTTCGCACACCGCCTGGGAGACGCCGCAGTTGTTATTCCTACCTTTACACAACACGGTGGCTTTTACTCGAGCGGTACCAACCTGCCGGGCCACCCCGTATGCGATTGCTCGCACACGACGTATGGTTAGGATTTTAATTCTTTTTGGTTAGGATTTTAATTCTTTTTAATTCTTTTTAATTCTTTTTAATTCTTTTTAATTTAAAGGGCCTTTTGCCCTTTGCTGTGATCCCTCTCAACGTGCTCTTAACAGGGCCGTGTTAGACTTAGTCCAATGCGTGGGCGAGGTGTTGGTGCTGCTGGGAGCTGGGTGCTCTCCACAGAAGGAAGGAGCCCCCGTGTTCCAGCCGCCGCGGGTGCAGGAAAGGCAGTGATTTAGCGGAGCCCAGCGGGCAGGTTGGAATGGACGGGAACAGAAGCGTCCCGAGCCGCGAAGCCACGCTCCGTCCGGCTCGCACACTCTAGCGTGAACGTGGCGAGGCTCACGGCGAGCTTGGCTCCTAATCCCTCACCCTGGCTCCACGGATCTCTGCAAACTGACCTTCTGTGGACGTTTTTATGCTATATCCAAACATTCCCCTTTCTGCCGGGCAGGAAGGAGCCTAGCGGTGTTCATCCCGAGGCCCACGGTGGGCAGTCGTGGAGGGAACTTCCCATCCTTGGCCCTGGCCAGCAAAACCATTCCTCGGGAATCGCGCTGAACCCGCTGGGAAACGCAGCACTGGCCGGGACGGCCCCCAGCGTCACCCGCCGCCAGGCAGCGGGTCTGGGGGTGCCCGTCCCGAGCCCCATGCCCGTGCAGGAGCCTTCCCCTCTGCCTGCCGCGGCAGGAATGGGGCATCGATCGCCGGTCGCAGGTGCAAATGGACTGCAACCTGCCGCCGGCCGCGTCAAGAGAGCTGATTAGCGCCCGGGCCCCTCTCTAGCGGGATTGATCTCGCAGGTGAGAATGGGTCGGGGACCAGCTGGGGCCCCGCTCCCCTCCGGGATGCTCCCTCGGGGGCAGTTGTGCTGCTCTCATCCTCATCTCGCTGCTGGGACAGCCCGAAGGCTTTTGCCGTGCCCGGGGACAGCAAACGTTCCCGCCTGATTTCCCATTTCTGGAGCCTCCGCAGGGACCCTGCTTGTCCCGGCTCTCCCCGCCGTGTTCCTGCGGCTCCTCGCTCGGCTCCTCTCCGTTTGAAGTGCAGGTTACACCGTCCCGGAGAGGCCGAGAGGCAACGGGCGCTGCCGGCCGCTCTTGCGGGAGCTCCGTCGCCACAGCCGGCGCGATGATTCCCAAACGATTCCCAGCATTGAGCACTGTCACCAGCACAGGACCGCTCTGCGGGCTCCGCGGAGGACCCCTTTCGTAACCATTTGCTATGGAAACATTAAACCATAGGGAGAAATCTGCTTCCAGATATGGATTTTTTTCCAGAGATGAAGGAATCAAAATCAAACCAAGATTCCTCCAGGATTGTGGGAGCCTTTGGTGGCTTTTAGGCCTCAGCATGGAGCGGGAGCTGCCCACCCCCATCCTGCGTTTCCTCCAGCTCCCTCTTTCTGCTCGAATTCCTGCTGGTCACCGAGTTATTACTTTCCTTACTATTTCCTGTGCTTTAAAAGTGGGCAAAGCACGATCAAATCATCGTCATGCTTATTTGGTTAATTACCCATTGAGTTACTTATTCAGCTCATTAGAAAGGCGCTGGCTGCTGTCAGGCGGAGGGGATGGAGGGAGGCAGGCGGCGGGACGCGGGGCCACGCAGACCCTTCCCGCCAGCGCCAATTCGTGTCCCTGCGCCCCTGCCACGTCCCCTCCGCACCCCGTCTGTTTTGCATTAAAAACCAGCAGCCCCAGAACACCAAAGAAGCGCTGGGGACCCCCATTGCTCCTTAGAATCCCTCTAGATTGAAGCCAAAGATCCGCAGAAACCCAAACCACCTATTTTAGGATTCCTTTCTTTCGGCTGAGGAAAATGTGCTGCCCCACAGGTCATAAGCTGCCTGTAATTATGACCCTGAATAGATAGAAATGTTGCTTCTTGAGACAAATTCTATCTGACAGTTTTTACAGTACGTTCGTTCAGAGCAAAATGCCCCGTCCTCTGTCACCCGGATTGAAATTATTAAGACAGACAGACATTTCACTGACAACTCTAGCCTCAGGGGGGAAAATATTCCTTCTGTTTCCCTCTGAAGGTCAGAGCTTCTATAATGCAAAGCACTTAGAGCACGCGCGCACACGCTCACACACATGCAGAATAAAACCTGGTCTTCGGTGCAGCTTTAGATAGGTTTTATAGCAAACAGGAATGGGTTTCACATGCATCTGGAAGAGTTTGGGCCAGAAAACAAAGATAAACCTTATGCTATTTTAAGTTCTTATCATCTCTCAAATAATTGTTTTCTCCTCTGAGACAGAACATGCAAATCCCGTTGTGTTTGCTCACATGTTAACATTTCCACCCCTGTTTTCTATACCCAAGTGCGGCACAGAATTCCCTGGGAATTCTTGGGACCAGCTGCAGTCCATGAGAAAGTCACACTTTCTTGGTATCCCTTTATTCCTCCCAAGGCCTCCCGAGCTGTCCCGCGTGCCGTGGGGCCCCGCTGGTGGGAGGGACGTGTCCCCCTGCCCCAGGAGCGTCGCTCCAGGGCCTGGCTGCTGCACGGAGCCGGGCTGAGCTGTCCCTGCCGCGTCCTGCGCGCGGATCACGGGCTCGCTTAATCTAGGGCTGAAAATTGGACCAGAGCCAAGGTGAGCAGAGGTGACAGACCCGACGGCGCTTTATTAACCTTCTCCCGTGGCCAAAGGTAAAGCAGCGGCTCCGTCTTCCCGGATTGCAGCAGCCGGGCGCACGCGGTGCCGGCCGGCGTGGCCTCGCGTCCTCGGCGCGGAG